ACACACACACACACACACACACACACACACACACACACACACACACACAGACACCCACCCACACACACACACAAACACACTCACATTGAGTGAGCAGAGTCTGTCTATCTACCTCACCAGTGGGCCCAGGGGCGGGCAGGGACATATTCAAATTGCAGTCATTTTGTCCTGATCTAGGGCTAATGATGGAACAAGGGAACAGAAATGTAACATTATGAGTAACAAATGTCACCAGAGGTCGCGTGCAATGTTTTGTATTGTTTTATTTTTATTTTTTTCAACGAAAGCTGAAGAGGTTAAGGGGGGTGTGGGGACTGCATTTTGCTTTCATCCTCAAAATGTGTGTTTGGTTGCTCTCTACAGTCTCGGTTTGAAACCTTGGCTTGATGAGTAAGGAAGCTTGTTGTGTGTTCTATATGATCTCTTTTGTTCTTTGTCTCAGGCCTAGCCTTACAGAAGCTGACTTTGATACCTGTGAATTGAATGTGTTTGTTGAGCCACAGCTGAGAAAGGAATTATGATTTACATTACTATATTACTACTTTTACTTTTAGGGGTGCACAGCTTTGGGGTGTAAGTGCATCATGTGAGCACGTGGCTGGTAGTTGCCACTTGTAGGTCCTCCTTGTTTACTGTCCTTTTGATACTGGTGTCTGTTGTGTAACGGTTAAACCAGAGAGGGTTTACAGTAATAGTATTACTGTAAACTCTGGTTAAATGCTTCGCCGTGGCACACAGAAGACCCGAGTTCAATTCTGTACCAGGGAGAATTTTTATCAAGTGCATCTTGAGCTTTCTACTGGGATGCTATATCCCTCTCCACCTGGGTTGGCCCTGACAGGCTTGATGGAAGCCCGCTTCCTAGCCTAAATGATCTAAATGAGATGCAGCGTGGTGGAGTCAGGCTCTCATCAGTTTTTGAGTATTTAGAGTTATTGGTATCATCTTAAAGCTTGTTCACTTGTCTTTATTTGGATGAAAAAAATATCCATTCACCTTGAATACAAGTCGAGATATTTGCGAAAGAAGGAGGTGTGGGTCACCTGTTTTCAGAGGTAATATTAGTGAGAAAATGGCCGCCAAAGATTAGTTATTTCCTTAGCTTAAGAGTCTGTGGTAACTGAACATTTACATTCTTTGTTCCTTTAATCAACGTTTTTCAGAAAGATCCACACAGAAATGAGTTCTTTAATGGGCATAAAAGGTGTTGAGCAAAAATAACAAAAAATTGATAAAAATTCACAAACCTGCGGAAAAATGCAAGTTTCTTCACTTTGGTTATTTTGACAAGAGCCTGATTCCACCACGCTGCCTCACAAATTGTGTCAGTGGGGACGTGAATACACCAACATTTTTATGTTTTGAAATAATCTCCCTTTGCTGTTACTGTTTATCAATCTTCCTTTTGCCTGGCTTTAAATGGCCGTTATTGTGTTGATGTGCTCATCTAGCCGTGCCAGTAATTTGAAGTTGAAAATGAAACATTTTGGGAATGGTTGGGGTATTCCTGAATTGGGTCCATCCAAAACAAAATATGCGCAAAAGTCTGTCCCCGTCGTTTTTGTGCAAGAAAAATTCTGAAATTACGCAAAATGTGCCCACAAATGTGAAATTATGCGATTCTGTTAAGTTTAACAAAGAACGATAACGGAAAATAATCAGAAATTATGCAAAAAATGATCAAATTTTGCTAAATTATGCGGGGTGCATAAAACCACGGGGACAAAAAAGTGTTTGTTACAAAAACAGTAGCTCATCGGCATTTGTGGTGTAGCAGTAAGGCACTTTGTTGTCACGGGCAGGAGAAGTGAGTTCGATTCCTGAGTGGAGAGAATCTTTACCGAGCATCTTGGTCTTTCTGCTGGGATGTTGTATTCCTCTCAGCCCTGAAAGACGGGTTAGAAGATCGCCTCCTAAATGACGTAAATGGTTTCAATAGGAGTATTAACACACTGTATTAAAATCTCCGCTCTCTGTGCTCAACTGTACATATATATGTGAATAGTGCCGTGGCGTATTTATTGGCATATTGGAAGCAGTGTGGCTCCTTCATGCCTTAAATAACAATAAAAGATATTTGACGTGACAACAGAGCTCTTTTATGTGTCATATTGTTTTTACTTTACTATCTTAATGCATATGATGGTCGAGTGAATGCAAATATTTCATGCACTTGTATTTTTCAACTTTCTTGTAATTTGAGCAGGTGGTTGAAGGGTGCCGCTACTTGGTTTTACTTCTTTAATTTTCTTTTCGTTTATTATTTCTGTCTACCTGTCTTACTTTTTCATTTTCCCAACAATATATATGACTGTTACTGTTATAGTGTTACTTTTATAAGTGTTACTGTGTTGGCCTTCTTTCCTATCAACTTTCTGTCGTCCTTATCTCTCTTCTTTCTTTGTATGTTACTATCAAATGACATCTTTAAACATGTGTTTTTGTTGCAAGTGCTGTGAAACTTGTACATGTACTAAAACTAACTAAATCATTGCCGGGTACCCAGTTGATTTGAAAACTTGAATCACTGATGAATTCTCCATTGAATTAAATTGCATTTATTATAGGCCTACATTGTGACTGTCTGTCGTACGTTTGAACTGGATTCAAATCTTCTCCTCTGCCCAGCATAAAGTTCTGAAGCTGAAACTGTCGGCATAGTTCCCATGCTTTTCAACGTGGAAACAAAACTAAACAAACTACGCTGTGCTCCATTTTGGACATTCATAAACCTATGACAAATACACATCTTGATCTAGATCTATATCAATTATTCTGCAACTATTGTTTTACCAATGGTGTATTTTGTTTCCTCCTGTGGTGATGTGTGTATTCCCGTGTCACATTTAAACTGCAAGCTGGTGCCTCAGTCCTTGTTCCTGTTGAAGGCCGTGCTTGATGCAATGTTAGGTCAGAAAAACTCAGCTCCTCTGGTTTCCTGACAGGTGACACACAGGGTTGAGAAAAAAACCCCCAGTGCGGGCGCACGTGCACACATGCGCGTGCATACACACACACACTCTCTCTCTCTCTCTCTCTCTCACACACACTCTCTCTCTCTCTCTCTCTCTCTCTCTCTCTCTCTCTCA